AAGTATAGAAGAAACTTAGCAGATAAGAATTTTATTATTCTTGTTGCTTTATATTAGTCAGTTAGAGATAGGTGGTATTCAAATTTCTATTCCCATCAAACCCTTCTTCTTTACATATTATTACAACTGAACACTATTCAGAACGGTTTTCTTTAATACATATTTTGAAATATGTAGATAAAATATATTAAAGATTCAAACTCTGGATGAGAAAGCAACAAATATATGATGAAATCAATGATATGGATTTCATAAAATTAAGACATCAGAAGTTTAAAAAAATAATTTAACTGCATTTAATGGTTTTTATGTGCCTACTTCTTTAAGGTATTTAAAGTCTGGGATCATAGCTGTATGCATCGATTTTTTTCTCCTTTATTTAGTTGTAACATACGTTTAAAAAAAAGAAGCTAAAGAAGGGCATGTACAGTTGAACTGCTTGTTAAAACATTGCTGCATATTCTTGGTAAATCCAATTAAACAAGTTGAATGAGAATAGCCACATGCTTTTTAAACTAGACATCCACTTGTACCTTAAATACCCCCTCTTTTATCCAATGTATATAACTGTCAAAGTATTTCATTCCCAACCCTGCACTCATGAGGTCTTTATGAATAACCCCTATTTGTAAATACAGTGGTGAACTGGCCAGTGAGCTCCTGATAAAAAGGAGCCTTCAAACATAAAAAGCATTTTTAGTCACCATGTATTTGATAGCAAAATATGACCCCCATTCTATTTCTAAAACTTAAATATTAGATCTGAAAATCAAGCATTGGAAATTGACAATGAAAAAAAGCATTGTCTATTAATAGATAAATAAGAAAGGAATGGCATTTGAGCTTAAAGATTATTTATACTAATTCTTTTGATCCTAAAGCTAACTTTTTATTAAATAATAATAATAATTATGTTTTAAACAACCAGAATAGTTTATTTCAGTGGGAGCCAGTAAATTTTAAAACTACTGAATTAAAGGGCAATGAAAATAAAGGTATTGAAACCTGTTTCCACAAATTAGCAAAAATTAGGCATAATTGGGATTGTTTTATTTGATTCAAACTTTGATGTACTAAACTAAAGATATAGTGTTTAATGATGGCGAGAATATGGACTACAGTTGCAACAATTGGAAAGCTTAGATTACTTGCCTATCATGTATACTAAAACTTCTGGCAAAACTGACCTGATAACCTCAATGAACTTTGTAAACAATTATTTATAATTTTCAAAATAATTTTAAATACTATTATAATAGTATCTTCTGTGTATTGCCAGTAATTTGTAGGACTTCATACAATACAGCACTATTACACTTTAAAATTTAATATTTTTAAAAAATGTTTCCTTATAAAAATGAAATAATAGCATTAAATTTGTGAATAGACCTTCTTTTTTCTAATGCCACCGATATTTTGACCCAGTTCGCTTCTGGTAATTATGCTTGTTCCACATACCTTCCGTCCTACTTTACATTATATAATGTCTGTTTGTTACATTTAATGGAAATAATCTGTATGCATATGTATAAAAGTATTATGACTTATTTTATTTAAACCATTGATAATCCATCTTAAGAAACATTTCAGAAAGATCCAGTTTATTTTAGTAGCTAGCAATCTTAAAACTCATCAAGAAATCTTTAAGTAAGCTTTGAATAATATAATTCAACCTTAGTATTTTTTTAGATGATTTAGACAATGTTTTCATTTCATTTTTCTTCAGTAGATTTGAACTCATCATTTTCAGGTGCATAAAGAAATTAGCATGTGGGATTTTTCTTATTTTCTTCTTTAATAAAGGAATATTTGCAATGACCACTGCTTAGCCTTTTATTTTAAGAGAAAAAAAATGCTGAAATATGCTCCTTTAGAACATATAATTTTATTTAACTTACATTACAATGCAATGAACTTCACATGCAAACAAAATGTTTAAAAAAGTAAAGTATAGTAAAAAAAAAAAAAGAAAAAAAGACATTCAAAAACTGAGGTGCATATGCTAAATATCACAGTCATTTTAAGACAATGGATGAAGTGGGGGAAAGATGGCTGATAATTACTTTAAATTAGTGGCATTGTCCGACAGGTGTTCTTTAAAAGACAGGGCTTCTCAAACTTCAGGACAAAGTTAGCCCTTGCGTCAGAAATTATACTGAATTTTGAGAACCTTTTATCAAAAGTATAGTTTGAAAAACAAATCATGAATATGGTAAAATTCATCACAGAGGCAGGGTTAGGTATTGAAGATGAGTTTGAAATAAACTTTTACTAAAGGCATGTTTCTATAAATAAATTTAATTTCTTGAATGAAATATTAAGTAGTTGTGCAAAAAGTTTTCTTCTATCCTATCAAAAATAATTTTAAAATTTAATTTGGAAAATTTTGACCTGAAAACATAATTTAAAATTCTCTACAATAAATGTAATTATAGATTTGGTTATTTAAATTTTCATGTTCAAAAGTTATGAGAATAAACATGGCATATGAAAATCTAAAAATACTGATGACTTATATGTTACCCATAGATAACAATCCTGTTTCTTCCTTTATGAGAAATGACACACTCCAAAATGGATAAAAAGCAATACAGTATGCTACTTACAGACTGTACATAAATTTGTCAAAGCATAAAATGGGAATCCAAAAATTAATGTTACCCCTAAGTGTTTGGTAAGCTACATTGAGGTTAACACCAAAAAAAATATTTAAAAATTTCAATGTTTTAGTTATGCATCAAAATATTACTTTTGGTTTAAGTAGGCCTGTAACTTTAAAACAATTAAATGAAAAAAAAAATCAAAACAGCAATAACAAATAATATCAATTAAATAAAGGGAGCAAGTAATTGAATAAACAATGATAAACACATGTTAATGTCACATTTTGTCAATTGAAAGTATTTGCTTGAAAAATACAGATTTTTACAGAAAAAGTTAACAATGGCAAATTTTTTTTGGCTAATTTTTATTTTTCCCTTTTTAACACTGATTTGAAAAACATAGAATGGATATATTGGTATATGGTACTAATTGTTTCTTATTCAATACTTAAGAGAAATAATAAAATATTAGACGCTAAGGGATTTTTATCTCATTAAAAGGTAATGTTAATATTCCCTACTGATTAGGATAAGACTTTCTAACATAGAAAAGACCTGTAATAATTTGTCCAACAAATTCTAACCACAATTAAATAGTTAACACATTGATTAAAAAATGTCCCGGGGGGGGGGGGGGGGGTTCATAATTTTTTTTGAAAACAAGGAATAAGTTCATAATTTCTTTTGGCATATTATATGTTATATGAATCTTGTGAGTGTGTTTTTTATATTAAGTATGAAATACCATAATTATTTGTACATTACAATTTTGGTGAGTCTTGGTGATGTTTGTAAGTTGCCTTTTTGTTAGATTGTTCTTTTAGTTGTGGAATATTGACAGAGTCAAGACGAAGACTATATTTGGAGTAAATGGATTGATTTCTAAGAGCTAGATTATAGTTTACTGAAGCTGACATTAATGGTGAATTTTTAAAAGAGCTGGGTCACTGCATTTAATACTGCTTAACCCCTCAACAAAGTTGTAACAGTTAAAAATAATTTTTTAACGCTCCTGAAAGATTTGTTTATTATTAAGAAAACAACAAATGAGGCTTTTGTAAAGTACAAAACATGTTTTTCTACTAATAAATGCTTTTTAAAAAAGCCATTAAATAGATTTTGAATTTATGATTACAATAAGTATTGGCCTAATTTCTAGTTCATCTAATATAACTTACATAGTTTGTAGTCTTTTACTTAATAATAATAGCTTATAAGGTACTTATATCCTGAATTAGATAAAAATCTAATATTTAGAACAGCCTTAATTGAGACAAAAGATTGCATTTAAATGAGACAATTATAAAAAAGGACAAATATTGAACATCAAAAAAATTTGTTGCAATATTTATAAAAAAAGAACTGTTCCACATATTATTATTGCAAAAATATTTTAAATATCTAAGTAAAGGTAAGCAGTTCTCAGTTTTAAATTAAAATTTTCTTCTCCACATTCTGATGAATGTATTCCATTAGTTATATATATCTTTATTAAAATATAGACTATACTAAATTTGTATCTCAACCGTTAAAAAAAAATACAATTTTTATGTGTGTGTGTGTGTGTATATAAATATATTTATATATATATATATATATATATATATATATATATATATATATATATATATATCTGTGTGTGTGTGTAAGAAAATACAATAAAATGCATTTTAAAATTGTATTTGCAAACTTTGGCTAAAGATAATTTTATTCTGTTTAAAAGTACTTTACTTTTAGCACATGGAAAAATAAAATTAAATAGGGCTTCCACTCATCCAAAAAACACCAACACAAACAAAATGGGCTATGCATATAGAGTATTGCTGTGAGCACTATTATTTTAAGTCTACACCCACCGTTTAAAAAAAAAAAAGCCCCCACTTTTTGTTAAAATATATAACTGTATAATCTTTAAGATTTTAATATAACTATCTACATTCATAATATGTTATGCTAAGCATGAAATATGTTTAAAGTTTAATGATGAGACAAACGAACATTTAACTGTTGTATGATTAATATTTCCTTTGTAGAGTTATTTTATTCTCAAAATATAATCAGCTGTATTTCTATTAAAATTAAAATTTAAAGAACTCAATTTAGTCTTGTAAAAATATAATGATATATAGATTATTTTAAAATATTTGCAATCAATAAGGGCCCTTAAGATATAGAAGAAGAAGAAGAAGAAGAAGAAGGATATTAAGGCACATTAAGTCATAATATACCTGTAGAACCAATGGAATTTAACAAATATTCTTACTCGAATTGTCACTTTCTTTATTAAAAAAATGAATAATCAAATTTAAAGAAATAAGTTTTGACATAAATAATATAACCACAATTCAGGGATCAGACATTTTTATGGAGAAATTTCACAAATTAAAGATTTTTTTTAAAAATTTGATAAAATTATACATGTTGTCTGTATATTCTGTATATATATTATAGCTTCTTTATCTTAATATCAGGTCAGCATCCCTAATTGATTGAGTAGATGGCCTGATATTTTTTAGAGGCACCCATGACTTAAATGATTAAAGTAAAAATTGAGCACATTTTTTTTTTATAATGAATAGTTTAAGAATGAAAGCAATTTGGTATTGCATTAATTTTTTGACCATCGAACAAAACAGAGACATCCTAACTTTTTGTTGCAATCCCTGGAGATAATTTGCTGATAAATTGGAGGTGGATGGCTCCCATTTCTGAACTGTTCTACTTCTTTAAGATACCTGAGAGCATTTTCACAAAAACAATTTTTATCAAATTTTTAAACAAACACTTTATGATAAACTTTATTGTTTGATGAACTGTTAATGTAAAGATGATTAATATTTTATTTTGGATAATTATAATTTGTAATTTAATACCAAAGTTTACTGCAAAACAATTTATTTAAATTAAATATAATTTTTTTCTGTGTTAACCTTTTTTAATCTTTACACTTAAAGTTAAAGTTAATATTTAAAGAATATATTTTAGTTAGCTCTTACCATACAGGAGGCCACTGCATTTGTTCAATCTGCTCTTGCTTTTCTGTAGGCAGCTGATGAAATAATTTCTGATGTTTCGATATGACTTCATTAAAGTTGACACTCAGGGTATATTGGCAAAACTTGGAGAGTTGTTCAGCATTATACAACTTATTTCAAAAAATATATAAAACTGTTTAATTTAAATGCTTAATAAAGTGATAGTGTGTATAATCTAGATATGTCCAATATAAAATAAAATGCCATGAAAATTACAAATAAGAATTCTTTTTATTTTAAATGAGACCCATAGTTTGGTTGGGGTGTTTTTTTTTATAGTGATTTAATTTATATAATCCTGATTTTCATGCACAACAGAGCTAGTCACAATAAGTTCTTTACAAAGGTATCTCTTTATCCAAGTGAAAAATAGAACCATATAGGGCATACAGGTTAAAGCTCATGCAATTTTCCATTGTAAAAATTGTGAATTTTCCAAATTTTCAAGTCAGAATATTCCATTGACCATTACTAACTGTCTTAGCTAATAAAAACCAACCACATACTTCCATTTGGTTTCCATAAAAGCAAAAAATTGTTATTATGTATTTATGACATGCTGATTAAGATTAGAAATGTAATACATCACAAGAGTTTAATTTAGACTACTAAAAAAATAACTGGAAGTAAACTGAACATTATGAGTTACCTCTGATGGCTCAATAAGCATGATGGCATCTTGCAGCATCTCATCTCTATCATAGGTAAGTAACTCTTTAACAACTGAAGCCTCCACCATGTTGACAAGTTGAGGTAAACAAAGACGATTTGCCACTTCAATTAGCATGGTGCAGTCTATCTTATCCATGCAAGGTGACTCTCCAGTGTAAAGGTACTCTTGTAGGGCTTTAAAAGTTCGTACTGTTATGCCAGGAAAAGGTATCTGAAATGTAAGGATATTATTTTTATTTGAGAAGATGAGATAAAATATCTGCATTCATTAAATTACAACAAGAAAATGTCCACATCATTTCCATGCATCAACTTAAAGTCATGGCCTTAACTTTAGGTCTACAAGGCTAAATAATTCCAGTTCTTTTTTCTTCTTCATTAATAGCTGCAGAATGATATAAATATCATGGAATCAAATATTTTCAGACATTCAAAAAAATATAGTTTTTTAGAAATTTGATTGATAATATCTTATTTCAAAGACTCATGTCCAATTATGGATACTAAATGAAGAGGTGCCTTCAATCTGTGTGAAGGAAATAGTGGAACAATGTATGTGGAAGCTTAAAAGAAAGACAGGACAATAAAAGGACGTTTTGGCTAAGAGTCTTTCTCAGCAGACAGGACAAATGAAAATAAAGAAAATAATAAATTATAAAGTAGTTCAACAACTTAAGAGTTAACTATTAATGTTATTGCTGGAAGTTGGGTTTTCCAAAACCAAGATTACATGTCTCATTGTGACCATCAATTTTCATTTACTTAATTTATTTTGCACCAGTTATTAAAACTTTTCCCCTCTTATCAGTTTTGTAGCTTGAAATTTTAAATGTTAAAAGCTTACCAATTCAGAAGCAGATTCAATAAAGTCACTGCTAAACATTGCATACATCATTTCACACCTTGCCATCAGAAGAGCCTTGTGGGCAGACACAACTCCATTGTCTACTTTAAATGATATATCTGTTGATGAACACAGAGGTAATTACACTTTTTAAATCTTACCTAGAGAAAGAATATAAATTCATTTATAAATGTTAAAATAAATGTGTTACATGTGACATTTTAAATGATTTTTATGGCTTTAATATTACATTGGAGGATTTATTATTTTTTTTAAAAAACAAGCCAATTAATATTTCAAGCAAAAATTTGTAGATTTGTAGATTATCAAGTTTTTGTATTAATCTATGCTAATGAGTTGATTAAAGGCAGTAATGAGTGGTAGATAAAGTTGTAAAGATTGAAAGGAAATTCTAGAAATTAAAATACAACAAAAAAAACATGTTACATGAAAAGACTAAACAAATCATACCTTCGAGGTAATCTTTTTGAAGGGCAAGATCTCTCAATTTCCTTATCCGCTTTTCATGGAATGTTTTGTTCACTTCTATGTTAAGGAAACTTTGGTCCTTTAAGATATTATCTATAACAGTCATTAGATCTGTCATCTAAAAAACATCAGAAATTAAAATGAATTTTATAACAGTAGAGAAAATTTGATTAAGTAGCTGCATGATAATGGTTTATAACAGGATATATATCCATTTATTAGATTATTAACAGTAAAATTCTGATGATCTGAGCAATTAAATTTTTACAAACTAATATACACATTTAATACTCCATCTTGATATAACTTGCGTTATTTAAAGTGTTTTAATGACAAAGAGCAAACTTAATTTATCATGGTCTTCATTGACAGATTACATGAAAATTTCATAAAATTATATTATAAATTATTATCTACTAGCCTCAAGTAATTCAGCAGTTCTCTTAACTTCATGAAATTCCACTTCATGAGAATGCAACAGTCCTGTATACAAGTACTCTACAACTGCAGAGAAGGATGCTTCAGAGATCTCATCACTCATAAAAATATGTGTTTGCAATATGTTGTGGGGATGGTGAGATTGCACTATTTCAATGTGAATTTCAATTGCTTTAACAGCTATTTGGTCATATGGTACTAATAGAGGCAACATAGTTGTACTTTGAGTTATTTCTTTGTCACAATTTTTTCCAATTCTATCATCTATATCTCTGTTCATAACTTCAGCATCTTTGGGAAAATCTGTGTATTTTGCTTTGCCATGTGTATATCCTTTAAATTCTTTGGCAAAATTAAATCTGATAAAGGATTCATGAGAAAAAAGCTTATTAAAAAATTCAGAATTAAGTGTCAAACAAATACGATGGGCATTAATCTGTTTGCCTTGTACATGAAAGATCACATCGCACTCAGCGTTGTTGTTCAACAGTGAGGATAGATCTGATTCAATGAAGGCTTTACATATTTTAATTCTTCCAAATGACGGTACTGGCATTGGCATAGGAGCTTGAACAAGTGGTCTTTGAACTCGTTTCAAATGAGTGTTCCAGAACTTTGTTTTGCGCCTTTCAATAAGAGCTGCCCGTGCTGCATTGATGAACACATCAGAGACACCGTGATGAGTAAGAACACTTGTTTCATAGTAAAGAGCTCCAATGGCCTTTGCTACTTCCCTTCCAAGGCTTGGTATGATGATATCTTTTGGACAGACAGTTCTAAGGAAAAGAATGTAGCACATTTTTACTTCAGAATCATAGCAAAAGATAATTAAGTCTTTTAATAAATATTATTCCTCAGTGTTTCAGACACAGTAAAATTACTTAAACTTTATGTTAATGTTCATTTTATCTAGCTTTATCCAGAGCATAATACAAATTTCAAGACAATTCTTATATCCCTCAAACATTTTTTTCACCCTCTTATGGGACTCTGATAGTTAATTTTTTTAACTGTTTCTCCTACTAACAGTAAAGAATGTGATCAAGTAAGCCACATATCATTGACTACTTTATATATATAATAAATAAATTTGTTAAATAAAATCTCTCAGCACTAATAAGGACATTACAATATAGGGGGCCTGAATTTGTTGTGATAAATTCTGAACATTCTATATCATGGGTGTCAAAGGAGCTGATTCATAAAATATAAGTAGATTTCTTTTGAAAAAGGCAAGATGAACATTTATTATTGTTAAATTAAAGAAAGTACTACTTATTCCTTTTTCAAATATTGGTGGCAATAGTAGACAGAGAAGGTTTTGAAGGAAAATTTTTTACCACCACAAATAAGAAGAGACCAGTGACATGCTATGGTGCCTAATTTTTTTTAGAGATATTCTAAAGTACTCGAGCTTAAAAATAGTCCTATTTTACTCATCTTGTTATTCTTTAAAAATCTGTACTGTTTCTTCAGATAATTAGTTGGGAAAGGGGGGGGCGGTGTTTGTAACATGATACAACATTCTGCTCAGTTGAGCTAATGACAATTATATTCTGTATTTGAAAAAAATATTTTTATTTTATTTTACTATCGTATTAATATCAAGCCATTAAGATAACAATGACGTGACAAATATAAAGTTTAGTCTATGTTCTTCATCAAAAATATTTTCTCATGAATACATGTTGTGCAATTTTAAAAAAAGCAAATTAAATATTTAACATATTTTAGTTTAAAGATAAGTTATTTTATTGATTTAAACCTTTTCTTCTGACTTCTTGGGATACTACAGCATACCTTAAAACATGGCTCAGAAGTCTATGTAAAGCTGATAGAAACTATCTTGCTGGCTGATGTCCATGGTTTGCCTTGTAAAAGTTATGTGGTGGGGTGGGTGAATATACATTGCTGTTCTTTATTTCATAAATGTATTTTATTTTAATGTCATGATTATGTCTCTATTTATAACATTTTTATGTACAGCGCGGTGAGCCCAGCCCTAGGCTTGGATACCGCGCAATATAAGACCTCTAATTATTATTATTACAAATATATCCCACTGTCAAAGCAGAACAAAAGAAGAATAAAGAGCTCTCCAATTCATGTTTGGCCAATGTTTAAAATTGTATATGTGTTGGTGAAGGTTTCTATGCTGATTAAGATGTCTGAGCCAACACATGGAATTTTCGCGGGTCAACAGAAGACGACATCATATAAAAAAAACATTTTAAAGTTTAAATTCATATGAATATTTTTCTCAACCTGAACAGCAATCCTTTTTCCATGTTGATATGATGGGCATCAAAACACAAATATCTCAGATCTGCCTGCGTCCCACACAAGACCAGTGGAGTGTTGGGGCTGTGACGCTTAATCTCTGGGTACCAAACTCGCTGAACATTACGCAAAGAATTGGGCTGCAGTACACTAAAGCACACAACAATGACGTCAGCTCTGAAGACATAATTATACATGGAATCAAATTTTATTATTTAGATATCGAAGATTATTTCATTTTACATATTTAAGAGAAATTGTCCCAACTCCAGTGATTCTCAAAATAATTATACGGTGTGTCATGCCTGTTGTAACATTTTTATAAAATATTTAATACTTGATTAGATCCAGATAGAATTTAAACCAAACTACACTAAAATATATTTTTGAATTTGACCAATCCACTCACTCCCTATATGCAAAACCACGGTCCTTGTCATGGTAACCAAATGTGTCCCACAGTCGCATGGAAACTTGACAGCCATCAACATCACACAATGACCGTTCCAAAATCTGTGGAGGGAAACTATTTCTAAAGGCAAAGCAAGAAACTTACAATAAAAATGGATGACCTAACATGCACACAAAAATTAAACTCAAATAACTTGCAACATATAACACAGAAAAACAGAAGTCATGGTGTGTCAAGTTTGTATAAAAATTACTAAGAGTAAAAGAATTTGCAAAGACAGTTTACTATTAATTTGCTTAAATAGCATTATGCAAGTTATCAAATAAATTCTCTCATTGTCAGAGTTGATGTTAGGTCCCACACCTCATGACCTCAAGAGTTGATATTGGGCAGTGGCATAGCTTGGGTTAGTGCATACCGGGGAGGGCCAGGATTTTTTACACTCCTCTCCCAAGAAAAAACTCTGCATTTGGTAAAAAATGCTACCCCTCAATGTGCCGCACCCCAATTCCTATGCCAGTAATGTTAGGTCCCACATATCAGAGTTGATGTTAGGTCCCACATATCAGAGTTGATGTTAGGTCCCACATATCAGAGTTAATGTTAGGTCCCACATCTCAGAGTTAATGTTAGGTCCCACATATCAGAGTTGATGTTAGGTCCCACATATCAGAGTTGATGTTAGGTTCCACTTGTCCGAGTTGATGTTAGGCTAGGTTATGAAACTGTTATGAAACTTAGATCTTCTAATTCTAATAGACAATTCCTTTAAAAAGCGTCAATTTCAGGATGGCCTATGATTTCACCTTTGACAAAATGCTAGTAATTTCAGGATGGACTGTGATTTCACCTTTGACAAAATGCTAGTATGAGTCCTGTATTAGTACAAATAAAAGGATGGGTATAAATATTTTAAAAAGTTGTTTTTTTTTAAACTTTTCATCAGTTGTATAATTCTGTTGACTTTTGACTACTAATACTACTATAATAGGCCTACTAATAATACTAATACAAATACAAACCTCCTTATCATGCTGGTAGTGATCAATAGCCCACACAGTAGCCTGATGAGTCTTAACAAGTTTTTCTAAGCTGTATTTGGCATTACAGGCGTACGCACAGGTGAGGTAAGTTTTACCAACACCAGAATCTCCAACAACAACACATTTTATTATCTCTTCTAATCCAGTAAAATGCTCGTTGACCATATTGAAAAGATTGCAGTTTTACTTTCGGTAACTCTCCTGAAAAGAAATTATAAGAGATAAAGTCCATGATTTTCACATATATTTAACTACATAATAATTGTAAAATGTACAAATTTACTTTTAAAACGCATCCATATTTACCTATAGCCTACGGGCTTAATAATATATACAATATTTTACTGTAACCAAATTAAAATCTATGCATACTTGATAAACTAATAATTTAGCGTTGCAAATTAGGTTATCATGAACTCGCACAGAACATCAGTAGGTCTACGACTATGACTTAAATGACTATAGTCTATGTATCCACACAAAAATAGGGGGGGGGGGGAGGCATCACATTATAACTAACTAGTCAAACACAGAAAATAAAAATAAATATCCTGAAATCAAAAACATTAAATTCATGACTATTTATATAGCCTATATTTATTTTAAACTAAAAATAATAATTTAGCGTTGCAAATTAGGTTATCATGAACTCGCACAGAACATCAGTAGGTCTACGACTATGACTTAAATGACTATAGTCTATGTATCCACACAAAAATAGGGGGGGGGGGAGGCATCACATTATAACTAACTAGTCAAACACAGAAAATAAAAATAAATATCCTGATATCAAACACATTAAATTCATGACTATTTATATAGCCTATATTTATTTTAAACTAAAACAGGTTTGTTGTTTTTAATAAATTTACTAATAAAACAGGTCATTACATTTACATTACAAAGATTCTTATTTTACGTTATTTTTTAAATGCTGACTTTACCATAATCTGATTGCTTGGCTAAGTGACCTCCACTGACCTTTTAGTTTAAGGGTGAACGCCTTATGTTTGACGGTCAATCTAAACTATCTTGCCAGGTTTCTTGTAAAAAAAATAAATAATAATAATAATAATTCTACCTTCTCCCCTTACCTCATTAAATTGAGGTCGTCCACATCGTTGACGATAAGTGAACCTTTATTACACTTAAGATTATCGGCACAAGTGGCGTGACTTGTTTGTCCTCTCAACTATAGGCCTACTTCAGGACAAGAGGCGATAGGAAATTTTAAAAAAGGAACAAAAAACAAATAAATAAAAAATGGAAAAATGAAACTGAAAATTTAAGTGTTTTATCCCAATCTTTTTGCCCCACACCCCACTTGAGCATCCAAAATGGTTTAATGTTTCCCCCATTCTGTCCAACGAGCTCCACCTCACCCACACTTTAAAAAAAAATTAAATCAATTTCCACAGAGTCCAAATTCCCCCTTACCCCCAAATAATCTTCAAATCGTCTCATTTGTGACATACACCCCACGTTGGGAAATAATGGTTTATGACAAAGTATCATGTGTTTGGGAATGTAATAGTGAGATGACTTCATATGAAACCTAAATTTGTCGCCACCTAAATTTGTCGCCACCTAATTTTGTCGCCACCTAAATGTGTCACCACCTAAATTTATCAATCTGACGGGTAAAAAACGACGATTTTGTTGGTTGCCAAATAAAACAATTCTTTACTTGACTGTGTAAAATCCATTTATATATTTGTCAGTCAAGAAAATCATCTTCATTAATAACACCCAGTGTTGTTAATTTTTTTCAAAGTTGCCAACGCTGCCATTTTGATTAGGGTAGGTAGGCGGGCCAAAAGTGTTTGATTAATTAAAGAGGATGCAGTTTGATTCAGTGTTTCTTTTAATCTTTTGATCCAGGGAGGGGGACATTTCAGTACATGTGGGTGGGGAGGGGGTTAAGAATATCTGTCAGCGTGCACATTATGCATTTTTGAACCAGATGCCATAAATAACCTGAATTCACTCCGGTTGTGGCACGCCCCAGGGTATTCTTTTGGCACCAACTTTATTTCACCCCGTACTGACAAATGGGTCGTTTTGGGGGAGGGGACAGCAGCAGTCGAGGGCTCCCTTGCGAATGCGGGGGGACTGATAAGGTAGTCATTTTGTAGTGATGCATTTTTTTAAAATGTAAGTAATTCTGGTAACTAGGTTTAAAAAAATCATATATAGTATAATAATAACAATCATCTTAAAAATACCGGTAAAAAAAAAATTTGAGCGTAGCGATTTTTCATTGGTTTTACCATTACCCTCATTTTATTAGACTAGGTTAATTTACATTTACAATTTTTTTTTAAAATGTTCAAAAAATTATCCTTTCATTTTTTGTTTTTAAATTACATCTTCCCTTTATTTATTTTTTTACAAGGGGACGACGTCTGGACCCCCCCCCACCCCTTTTTTTTCCCCCGGACATGCCTGAAATAAACACCGGTTTCAAGCAAAAATATATATAACTACCGATATATGTGAACAACGGAAAATAATGGTTCGGCTTAAAATAGGGAGAGACCTATTTTAAAAAAAAAATAATACGGTATTTAAAAACAAAGAATTATAAAAATGACAATTTAGTCGTTTTTAATAGATTATATTTTGGCTTTATTGTACACATTTTTCTCCTGGGGGGGGGGG